ACTAACAGATAGGGCAACTGAGGTGGAGCTTTCAATTATGGAAATGCAAAGGAAGAGGAACAGTTGTAAGAAGACACTAGTGATTGGAACATGGAATGTGAGAACCATGAATGAAGGAAAATTAGATATTGTTAAGGAAGAAATGGAACACATAAATATTGACATACTAGGTAATGGCGAGATGAGATGGACTGGCATGGGGCATTTTGAGTCAGATGATCATGATATATTACTCTGGGGATAAAAAGGTGAGGGAAAATGGGGTTGCTTTCATAGTTTAAAAAGTCATTTCTATATCCATTTTGAAATATGCAATATTGTGAGTGACAGGATAATATCCATATGCATACAAGGAAGTCCAGTGAATACCACTATATTTAACGATATCCAGTTATATGCACCAACAACCAGAGCCAAAGAAGAGGAAATAGAAGATTTCTACCAACTTTTACAGTCGGAGATCGATCGAACATGCAACCAAGCTGCATTAATAGGAATGGGTGACTGGAACACAAAAGTTGGGAACAGAGAAGAATTAGTAGTTGGAAAACATGGACTCGGTGACAGAAACGAGGCTGGAGATAGAATAATTGAATTTTGTGCAATCAACGACTTATTAATTGCAAATACTTTTTATAAGAAACATAAATGCAGGTTATACACATGGATTTCATCTGATGATATGCATAGGAATCAGACTGATTACTACATCTGTGGAAAGAACCACTGCAGAAGCGCAACATCAGCTGTGAAAACTAGGCCAAGAGCTGGTTGTGGAACAGACCACCAACTACTAATATGCAAGTTAAAGCTGAAGCTAAGGAAAAGTTTAAGAAAAATATGTTAATTTTGCTCTAACACATATTAAGAAAGATCATAAGTTGCTGTTAATTTTCTGTAAAACATATTATGAAATATGTTTGCTGTGGAAAAATATTATGAATTTGATGCTTAAGTTTAGAAATAAGATTTGTGAAAAAATATACTAACAGTTTAACATGCCTCAACAGGCCTTAGAGGCCTAGAATCCTACTGACTACAATAGGTGCAAACCCTTGATAAGGAAATGTAATTGAAAATAACTTGCTTGTAAAGCTGATGTAACTTGTTACTGCCCATGTTGCTAAGAGAACCTAACTTGGAAATTTAAATTTATTGGGAATCTGCTATATGTTACAAATAAGAAATATATTGGGAATCTGCTCTGTTAGAAATAAGAAATGTATTGAGAATCTGCTATGTTATATGTTGGAAATAGGAGTAAGAAATATGTTATGGATTTGCTATGTTGTGGTTAGAAATTATGTTAAGAATATTTGTGAAAATATATTGAACAGTTGATATGTCCAAATAGGCCTCTAATGGCTCTAGGGCCCTACTGACCACAACAGGTATGGACCCTTGATAAGGAGATATGACTGTTTACTGCCTGTGTTGCCAAGGGAAGACAAGTAGTATTGAACATGATTGATCAAACCCATATTGTTATTCAACATGCCCCAGCATGCCCCACTTGCCTCACCATAATGTAAAGCGGGAAAGCCAGAATAGATAAACTCTGGCTATGCCTAGCAAATCTCTCTCTGAACTTCACAATGAGCTGAACATTGAAGACCCAAAGGCTCTTTTCAGAGCCAAGAACTCTGGTCTACACTGATGGACATGAGCTACTGAGACAGTGGCGGATTCTGCCCACACTGACGGATCCTGGCTACATTGAACTGCTGAACTAGCCAAGAATCCCGACTTCACCGATGACCATGAGAAGCAAAAGAAGAAGACAAGTTTGGATCACGGGGTGTGTGAGTGTTTCCCACTGTTGATAAATCAATATGTTGTGACGAAATTATGAATTGCAATGTAGATAAATTGCAATTGACTATTTAATGCTTGCTATGGGAATCCCAGAACACTTGATCATGCTAATGCGAAAGCTATACTTGGATCAGGAGGCAGTTGTCAGAACAGAGCAAGGGAAAACTGCATGGTTCAAAATTGGGAAGGCCATACGCCAGGGATGCATCCTATCTCCTTACCTTTTCAACCTATATGCAGAACAGATTATCTGGGAGGCTGGGCTCTATGAGGACAAATGTGGGGTCAAGATTGGTGGATGATTTATCAACAATCTGCGTTATGAGGATGACACAACCCTGCTTGCTGAAACTGAAGAGGACCTGAAGCACCTGCTGCAGAGTGTCAAGGACTGCTGCCTCCAATATGGATTGAGGCTCAATGTCAAGACGACAAAGATTCTCACCACTGGACCAATTGGCAGCATCAGGATGGATGGTGAAGAGATTGAGATTGTATACAGC